GAGAAATACAAAATATTTATAAATGGTATTCTTCTAATTTACCCATGGATGAAAGAAGAAAGTTCAAATAAGATATTTCGAGGTGTATGAAAACAACACAAAAATACAGAAATTTGTGAATGCAACTAAAGCAGTGCTCAGATATAAATATGTGGTTTAAAATTTTTATATTTGAAAAGAAAGATCTCTGGATACTTAAGTTCCCACTTTAAGAAACTAGACAAAGAGAGATAATTAAATCTAAAGAAAGTCACAGAAGAAAAACGGTAAAGATTAGACAATAAAACTGAAAACGGAAAACAGCACATAAAATCAAATGAAAGCTTAGTTATTTAAAAAGTTTTTTCAATGGTAAGCAGAAAAAAAGTCACAAATTATCAATATCAGAAATGCAAGAGGGGAAACTACTGACACAACTGACATTCAACAGATAATAAAACAACATGGGCTACTATAATAAATTAGGGTGGCTTAAATAACAAATATTTATTTTTCTTGGATTGAGAGGCTGGAAGTCTCAGAATAGGGTGCCAATACAGTTGCATTCTTGTGAGTGACCTCTTTGGGTTATAGACTATTCTTGCAATAGACTCACATGGTGGAAGGTAAGCTAGCTAGCTGTGGTATCTTCTTGTGAGGGCATTTTAATCTATCTTTTTAAACCAGAAAAGCAAATAACTAACTGTATTTGAGCACTCTAGAAAGAAGCGGTAGGAGAATATGGACTGTAACCAGAGGGAGTTTTTTGGATTCTTAGAACTTTATTCCTTTGTTTTAGAACACTGACATCATATTATTTGATTCAGTAATTCAAATCCTTAAATGTTTTCTTTTACCTGGGCTCTCAGGCGAGACTTTAATGTTCTTATTATCTGAATTCAAACCTGAATGATAACAGAACATGAAATCTAAATTATTTTACTTTGATTGACTAACAACTTTACCATTCTATTATAACAATTTTTCTAAGTTTTATATTTAGAGATAGCTTACTTAGCCAGTCAATATGCTCTAATCTTTTACATATATTGACTGGGAGATATGCTTGATCTAAATTATGTCAATCTTTATGTAATGCCATTTGTTTATATGGCTTCACAACAAAAACTTTCAATAAGTGTATATTAATTTTTTTTTTTTGAGTTGGAGTCTCACTCAGTCACCCAGACTGGAGTGCAGTGGTCACTTCCAGTGACCGCAGCCTTGACCTGCTGGGCTCCGGCGATCCTTCCATCTCAGCCTTCCAAGTAGCCAGAACTACAGACATGCGCTACCAAGCACGGCTGGTTTTTTGATTTATTGTAGAGATGAGGTCTTGTTGCCCAGGCGGGTCTTGAACAGGCGGGCTCAGGCAATCTACTCACTTCAGCCTCCCTAGGCATGGGATTACAGGCTGAGCCACCGAGCCCAGCTAGTGCATATCACTTCTAATAATTAAGATGATTTTACATTTTCTTCTAGGAATTATATTAAATATTATATTTTTTTTAATTTCTGGAATGATTTATTAGTACAGACAAAGGCTAAGATGCATATGAAAAGATGTTTGACATCATTAGTGACAAAGAAACTGTTATGGACTGTGTCCCATCCCCAAATTCATATGTTGAAGAACTAACCTCCAGTAATACTGTATTTGGAGACAAGGCCTTTAGGACGTAATCCAGGTTAAAATGAGGCCATAAGGATGAGGCCTTAATCCAGTAGCACTGGTGTCCTTACAAGAAAGGGAAAAAACACCAGGGTGTTCTCTCTCTCCCCCAGTGGCTACGCACAGAGGAATAGTCATGTGAGAACACAGCAAGAAAAGCGGTTTTCAGCAAACCAGGAAAGAGAGGCCTCACCAGAAACCAACTTACTGGCATCCTGATCTTGGACTTTCAGCCTCCAGAAATGAGAGAATTTCTGTTGTTTGATCCACTCAATCTGTGGTATTTTATTATGACAGCCCTAACTGCCTAATAAAGAAAAACAAATCAAAATCACAAGGAAATGCCACTTCACATCTACCAGGATGGATGGAATCAAACAAATGTTGGTAAGAATATGGAAAAATCTGAATCCCTATGGGCTGTTGTTAGGAATGGAAAATGGTGATGTCATTTAGAAAAACAGCCTGGCAGTTCCTTAATCAGATAAACGGAAGTACCACACAACCCAGAATTTCATGCCTAGGCATAAAAACATATGTCCATGCAAAAACTTGTAAATGAATGTTAATATCAGCATTATCCATAATAGCCAAAAGGTGGTAGTCCAAGTATCTACTGACTGATGAATGGAAACACAGGCAGTATATCCAAACAATGAAATAGTATCTGGTCATAAAAAGGATGAAACACTGATATATGCTATAACATGAACCTTTTAAACATTAAGTGAAGCAAAAGACGCCAATCACAAGTGACCACATACTATATGATTCAATTTATACAAAATGTCCAGAATAGGCAGATCTGCAGAGACACAAGTAGATTAATGTCTACTTAGAGCTGGAGCAGTCAGGGGTATAAAAGAGTGACAACTAAAGGGTACAGATTTCTTTTTGAGGTGATGACGTTTGTACATAAAGTCGTCACTTAGAGGATTGGATCTAGGACTCCTTTGAATACCAAAATCTATGGATGCCCAAGTCCTTGATATAAAATGGCACAGTATTTACATATAACCTATGCAAATCCTCTGGTATTTTTTAAATGGTCTCCATATTACTTACTAGCCTCATAAAACAGAGACAGTAGACAGTTGTATACTATATTGTTTAGGGAATAATGACAAAAAAGTCTGTTCATTTTCAGTAGAGATGCACTTTTTAAAAATAGTTTCAATCTATAATTGCTGGAATCCATGGATGCAGAACCCATGGATACAGAAGGCACACTGTATCTATAAACACATTAAAAGCCATTGAATTATACACTTTGAATGGATTGTATGAGATGCAAATTATATCTCAATAAGCTGTTACCCAAAAAAAAAGAAAAACTTCTTAAGGTGTTCTTCTGATAAGATCTATCAACCCAAGGCTACTTCTGTCAACACTCACTCACCTGGGTACTTCTGGTTTAGGAATTTGACTTCTAGGGACCATGGTTCTTCTCCTTGCTCCAACTTGAGGATAACCTTGGGTTTGGTAATGCAACACCCTGTAATAAAATAATTGAGGGCATAAATGGAACAGATTCATGAGCACTTGGATGGAAAAAGACACAGTTATAAAAGTATTAACTGAGAATATCCATCTGATGTTTTCCAAGGGAAGATAATGACAAAAACTCTTTCTGTTTCTGTAAACGCTTCAATTACATTAGACCTTTTAGTCCTAAGTCTATGAAGCCTTTAATCTCTATAAAGAAATCTATGTGTCTTGATAATAAAAAAAAAAAAAAAAGCAAACATGCTACAGAAGGAGTCCCACGGCAGGTCCGCTCACCCACTGCAACAAGGTGGCCGTAGTTCTCCAGCATCACATCCCTGTATAGGCTCCGGTCCCTGGGGCCCATCCTCCTCCATTCCTCCTGGGTGAGCTCCACGATCACATCCTCGAATGACACGGATCCCTTCAGCAACATATTTTGTTCAATGTCTCGGAATTAGGTGACACAGAAAATACCTGAGAACTTTTCCTGTTTACTTTTGAGGCTCAAAAACAGTTGGTTATAGAGGCTTATTTTGAACCAAATTTCATCTTAAAACTTGTCACTCAGCTAGTTTAAAAGGTTTCTAATTTACCATACTGCATCTATATACATTTATGAATTCAAGATATTTTTAAGACAGAAAAATTCAATGTAATTAAACCATCTACAACTCTTCATGCACATTCCTGGGATGATTCTATTCTCTTGGAAGTTCACACCCTCCTTTAACTTCATCCCTGTAATTACTGAGAGCCAAGGAAGAAATACATGTGAGCCATAGAGAGATAGCTGACCAAACTTATATATAAGTAAATATATGAAAACAGAGAAATCTAGAGCTCATGAAGAACAAGGAACAGCTTACAAAGAAGTTGGAACCAATGAGACCATAGTAAGAAAACACTATGTACACTGAAGTAACAGCAATTGACATAAGAATAGGATATAATCACAGAGCAGAAGCAGAAACCATCTCATGATTATCGCTTGAGGTAGCAACCTAGTCTAGCTGTGTGAGAGGCCTCTCTCTCGGTTTTTTGTTTTATTTTGTTTTTAATTGACACAAAGACAAATCTTTCAAATAAGATCTCACTTATATATGGAATTTAAGACAGTAAAATGCATATAAGTAAAGAAAGAATAGAATGGCAGTTACCCGAGTCTGGGGGAGAGGGGGAGAGGAATAAGAGATGTTGGTCAAAGGATACAAAGCTTCCATTAGACAAGAGGAACACATTTTCAAGATACTGTACAGAATAGAACTCTAGTTAATAGTAATATAATGTATGTTTCAAAATAATCAGCTTCTTGATGGTGTCAAAAACTGACAATTGAGAAACAAAAGGAAAAACATGTGACATGTTTGAGTGAGACATCTGTTCAGGTTGTTACAAAGGGGTGTGTGAGACATAAAGCTGGAATTGCCCTTTAAACCAATATACATGATTTCAGAACACAGAAGGCAAGTCTAGGATGAAAACAAACACTTAGGAATCATTAGCACTCTTAGCTGGTAACTGAAGTTATTAAAGACAATCAGACAGCTCCTTGAGCACACTGGGATTAAGGAAAAGTACCAAAACAAAAACACTTGAGGACTACATATATTAAAGAGGCAGGCAAAAGATGTACAGGCAAGAAGTCAGAGAAGGTTTCTGAAAAACAGTAATAAAATCCAGAGGATAAAGTCCAGAGGATAAAATCCAGAGGATAAACTAAGAAAACAGAAAGTTTCTATACCAAAAGACTTCAAATTCAAACTAACGAGTGATGTCAGCAAAAATACTGAAGTTGAAAAAATTCTCTCTTCCATAAAAGCAATGAGAAACTGGCAGCAATTACAGAATCAACTTTTTCTGAAAGCTAATCAAAGGCTTCAAGCAATCTATACAGGAATATTTATACAAAAAAATTATACAATATGCCTGTAATCCCAGAGGACTGCCTGAGCCCACAGGTTCAACAGCCTGGGCAACTTGGCAAAACCTCATCTCACAATAAACCAAAAACTTAGCTGGGCGTGGTGGCACACACCTGTAGTTTCAGCTACTAGGAAGGCTAAGATGGAAGGATCACCTGAGCCTAGCAGGTTGAGGCTGCAGTAGCTGTATCACTCCAGCATGTATGACAGAGTGAAACTTCAATTGAAAAAAAAATTGAAAATGTTTTTAATAAGCCTGCAACATTGGGAGAACCATAGTTCTGCATCATCTTAACTTGTCCTATTTTCATCCGTCTCTCTCCAGCTACACATTAGCTTTGAGAACCAATCATCTCAGATAAGAGCAAAAACCAGCAGCCTGGCAACCACTGGAGGAGCCAGAAGTGGGTTAGAGTTGTCAAAAGCCTGT